CCCCCCCTCTCGACTTTTTTTTCGACTTTGATGTTCCTTCCCCTTTGTGAAGCCTGAAGTCAACTAAAGGGCTAATGATAACTATCAGAACGCCTGCCATTTGATATAAATAAATAAATTTTGTAAACTAAGGCGAAGTCGATCAATTTCTTTTCGCCAACAAGTGAACTACAAGCGCATTTTGAAATATGTGATCGATCATAAGAATATAAGGGAAAATTAGTCGGTTGAATTTTCGGATTCAGGCTGTCTTATTGACTAAATGGGTAGCTCACATTCAAAAACTCAAATTCTATGATTTGAATCCTGGATTGCGGACAGCGCCTATCCACTATGTCCGGTAGTTTATCGATTTTCAATCAGGAATGGCCTCGTCCAACTGATTGAAAGGAAAACCCCGTCAACTTAACGGGATTCAGAAAATAAAAATCGTTACATTATTAGACGGAAGTAAAAAAAAACTTCCTAGCTTAACTCTGGTCCTACAAACCGATCTTTTTTTGTCAAATTTATCTCCCCGATGAGCAAGCCATACTTTCCTCTTAAATAGTCAGTTCATCAGAAAGATACTAATGGTTTTGTTCAAAAAAGACAGTAAATAGAAAATCGAAAGGTGAAATGACCTTGCACGCCCAATATTCTAGATTATGCAGGACTTACAGAAGTTCATCCGAATTATTTAAAACGACTCCACCGTTACGAGAACCGTCACTTTTTTCCTGCGTGATCAACTCGTCCAAATCAAAGACCACACGATCGATAAGATCATCGCCATCCACCACTCTTCTTACATCGTCCATAGTTAAACAAACTAAAGGACTGCAGACATTCAGAGGATCTAGAAAAGAGATTTCGACATCGATTATTCTATAGAAAGATTGCATTTAAAAATCTTTCCCAAATATGTTGATGATGTGCAGACAATTCAAGGGCGAGATGAAGCACACACACACCTAGTCACATGGAAGTCGCCAACGTGTGACATACTCCTTCGTATGACCAACTCAATAGAGAGAACTTCGACTTTTGATTGATCCATGTGGTTCCGGATCAATAAAAACTACTCTTCAATATTATTCACTTTACACGAACTCTTTAGACTTTCATCCTCGAGAATGTTGATAGACCATACAAAGAAAGCGTATACATATTCAATGATAGCCCCAAAGCCTAAAAACTGGAGATCGGTATAGAGGACAAGATGATGATTGGTTTTTACAAAGAAAATTGATTTTGGTTATGGGAGTAAGGTTTCCGGTCCGAATATGGCTTACACAGCATCTTCAGTGTATTAAAACATTGTAGTGACAAACGATGAGGCAAAGTGTTGCTTTCAACCAAATCGCAGTTATAAATTTGGTGAATAACTACATTATATAACACCGAATTGTGTGCCGATACATATCACCAACTAATTTACCCATTTTGAAGTGTTTAGTCATCTCCATGGTTCCTACTTATTTGATACTAAACTTATTTCATCCTACAGGGGCTGTCTCTAAATGCTATATTTAGTTGAGCGTCTGTGTTCTCCTTAAGGTGAATATACCTCAATTCGTTAAACTAAATTTTCGCGATTGCTGCAATAAATCTTGCTTGTAACTTAACCTATTCCTGTTCGATTTGGTTAATACAGAGATTGATTGGCAAGCAAAAGGGGGTCACCTGTGGAACCACGTCATGGAAACTAGAAGAAATGTCTGCTCCTCAAATCTGAGACAGCATGCATGAGAGTTAGGGTTGATTAAATAAAGCTACATTGAAGCCCATGAAGTGAGCAATAAATTGATGACTTATCAACATTAAGACTGCAAAGAATTGAAACTCTCAGACAGTCATTTAAAGAGTGATTGAGCAAGTGAAATTACATAAATCAATAATATTTAGTTTTTCCCAGTGCCATAGCATGTCTGCAAGCACTTAATCTACCAAGATGAGTCTAGACATAAACAGACATGTACCTTCGTGTTGACGAAAAATAGGCCACAAATTTACAGCTAACCCAATTGAAATAAAACCATACCAGACTCCACTTTGCAGCCTTCATGACTGCTAACCGGAGGAACCAGAGTCGGATCACAGAGAAGCAAGGGCGAGTGAAGATGTTCGCGAAAACCAGGTCCACTAGCGTTGATGAGATCTGGATAAGCAACCATCTTCTCTGATCGATGAATAGCATAGTCCAGAGCACTATACACATTCCGGGCTGCGATTAGGTACCGGTCGGGTATAGAAGATGTCTGCTTCGCTTCATTGAATATACCTGTGAAGAGACAGAAAACCCGAGTATCAAAAAGCTCAAATTGAATAAGAAGAAATAGCCAGGGGTTACGAACCTTCAAAAATTTCGTCCTTCTCCTTTTCATCAGTGTCTTCTTCAGGTAGGTTTATTTGAATGCCTAAACCAGGAATCTCTTTCCATTCAGGAAAAAATCTTCCGTGACTTTTCAAGAGTTCTTCAAGTTCAAATTTGGTTGCGGAGACATCGATGTCATGATATTCATATTGAGGATCAGGGGTTCCACAGCTGGAATTTGCATCATCAGCGTCTGAAAACTGTTCATTGTCTTCGAGATGCGTTTCTTCCTTGTCGTCGTCATCTTCGGAATTCACATCAACACTTTCATTATCTTTCACCTCCATTTTCCTACCTGAGTTTAGCAATTTCTCATTAACTTTTCCTTCAGTAGCCTTTTGAGGAAATTTTAACTTTGAGTTCTTTAAGTCTGGAATTCTTTTTACGGGTCTCTGTTTATCACCTTTGCTCTTATTTGAATCGACTTGCAGATCTCCAGCTGAAGGTGTAAGTCTGATCTCATTGCCCATGATGTGAAGTCCGGAAGACGGCTAAACAGGACAGAAAATACTCATTGAAAAAATGTCACGAAAAATATTGTTCAGGTGAACTATGGTGTTGAATTAGACCTTTAGTTAGTTTAGTTAAGTGAGCAAAATATTAAATGAATATATTAACTCAACAACAAGTAAAATCATGGCACTATTCCAAAAGCCAAACGTTAAGGGCTGAAAATTCTATCCCAATACTTTCTGATAGAGCCTCGAAAAGAGTTATTTGAAACCTTCATTAAACCACTGTTGTTCATTCCAAGATTGATGACGTCAAATTGATGGCTAATTAAAACGGTTTACAGTTAGGTACAATATAGCTTTGTTTTTAAATAAAGTACAGACGGCTTGATTCCACATTTTTTGGCCATTCTCATCATCGAATGCTACCCTCCTGATCAACTTCACGTATCTTTAGAAGTAAGACGGCTACCATATAGATACAAACATTATATAACGGAAGTGATACTGTTATTCATTTTGAACTCCCTACTCAACGAAATGAGTAGTATTAGAATTGGCGCATAAGCAATCACAGTTTCACTGCAAAAAAGAAACGCTTGAATTAATATTGGCACAAGATCAGGTCTAATGAGGAAATAAGTGCATATCACTAAAACATTTCTGTTGAAACGTGAAATTGAACAAAACAGTTAAGAGCCACTCGCAAATTGAGTAATAATGACTAGGTTGATAAAACACAGAGATCTCAATGACACTTGGATCGAAATAGCAATACCATTGCCGAGGGCATAGTCAGAGGTCTTTCGTTCCAAATCAGAGTGAAGTCTTTAGGGTAGTACTGATGAATTGACTCACCATATCCTCCAGTTTCATAGTACAAATTCCAAATGATTGAATAAGAGAACATCAGACAAATTCATGCCAACTCGCATGCGAATTACCTTTTCAGAGGAACAGGACACTTTGGACAAAAGTTTTTTCGCCACAATATACTCTTTGGAAAGAGCGTAGTACCCTTTCCTCTTCACTCTCCTTTTCCCTGTAGTTGCCTCAGGCTTAAAGATTCCCGCTGATACGCGACCGGTACCTATGGGGAAAGGAAAACGTAAAAAACCCCACCTTTATACAGGGAACCACAGTTGAGAAGTGTAATAATAGGAAATAATCGAAACCACAGTAATGCGAATTTGAAGCTAACCCAACGTGGTCTTGGGAACTCGGAGTGCACACTTGTTATCAGGGGGTTTATTTAAATTAGGAACGGTGACGCTTTCACCACATCCACAGATTCTAGGTGGAAAAAACAAATAGCACTTCTAAGTTACCTTTCACTTTAATTAACATAGAAGTAACTATGAAACAGAATGAATTCAATGCTAACCTTGAGTTCAACAGGAACAACGAAGAGCATTACATACATATAACAGTTTTTTTTTCAAACGGTTAAAAAAGAACACAATATACGAGTCGATCAAGCGTTATTTTAAATATCAACGCTGGTTACTCTCTTAAAACCCCTGAAATCTTCGAGAAATTATCGAAACTAATATGCTATAATTCTGGAGTCGGCATTTTTTTAACGAGACACAATAGAATGTTAACACGTCAAGGGCAAGTTTGCTTAAATACAATGAAGTTTCCTAATTACGCAGATATATTGAAATACGGAGACAGCGACACTCAATTCGAAAACTTGAAAGAAACAACTACATCTTTGAAATAAAATGTTAGTGGCAACGGGTAGCTTGACAACGATTAGCATCTTGTCATCAAGTCCACCTCGTTTTTCTCTCTAAATATTTGCAATTTAAACAGTATAATAATACAATGTGACTTTGCGCAGAACATTCAACACTGGGGTGGTCGTCATAACTTCCAAAATGTTGCAGCCGTAATGGAGATAGTCAACTGAGTAGAGAAAAAATTTGACAAAATGTATAAGAACAGAGCACTTCCAGCTTTTTATCATAAGGCATGCAAGAAGTGTTATTAAGAAGCTCTAGACTTGAGGAATGATGTCCTGGTCAGGATGGGCAATCCCACCAAGGTGGTCTCTAAGTGGCCCACCATTCGGATCGTTTGACATTTAGTGTGGACAACTTCGCGATTTGTCAATTGCCCATATGTATGGCCATGATCAACTTACTACAGAATCTTGGTTTAGTTGAAATCCATCATCTCCCCGAGTCTGAATCAACTGCACCCTAACAATATCTAGTGGGCAGACGGATCACAGCTATAGGAACTGGATTATCTATAATCATAAGGACTTTACGAAGAAAACCGTTATTAAGTAGCGTGCATTGGACAATTGGATTAAAGATCACCCAAAGATATTAGACATATACCTTCGAGATAATTCTACTTTAAAACACCATCAGTTTTATGCCCAAAAAACCGGTTGTTTGCATCTGAAGGTAACGAATTTAATAGTTGGCGAAGTAAGGGAGCACACTAGGGAAAGAACTGATAGTCTCGGGTAACCCTGTTAAGTCTCCTGTATGAGCTAGTATATTATTCTAACGATGGGATATAATTATCGTGGATTGAATAACACAAAGAGAATGCATTAGGCCAGACAAAAGGCATGAGAGAAATAACAGTAGCCAGGAGGCACGTATAAAGTAGGG